GTAGGGAAGTCTTGCTGCAATTGTATAGGGCTTTGGTGAGACCACACCCAGAATATTGTGTGCAGTTTTGGTCTCCTTATCTAAAAAGGATATACTTGCTTAGAGGGGGTGCAAGTTGGTTCACTAGGTTGGTTCCTGGATGAGGGGTTGACCTACAAGGAGAGGTTGAGTAGACTAGGCCTATATTCTAGAATATAGAAGAATTAGAGGTGATCTTATAGAAACCTATAAGATTCTAAGGGTCTTGACAGGGTAGATATGTTAGATTGTTTCCCCTGGTTGAGAATCTAAAACTAGGGGTCATATTCTCAGGATTAAAGGTCAGCCTTTTACAACTGAGTTGAGAAAATATTTCTTCACTCAGAGGGTAGTGAATTTATGGAATTCTCTACCCTAGAAGGCTGTGGATTCTGAATCATTGAACATATTCAAGACTGAGATCGATAGATTTTTAAAAACTAAAGGGATTAAGGGATATGGGGATAGGGCGGGTAATGGAATTAGTTTAGAAGATCCACGATCTTATTAAATGGCGGGGCAGGCTCGAGGGACGAATAGCCTACTCCTGCTCCTATTTCTTATGTTCTTATGATAGTAAAAAGCAAAATACTGCAGATGCTGGAATCTGAAATAAAAACAGTCGCTGGGAACACTTAGTAGGTCAGGCAGCACCTATGGAGAGAGGAAATTGAGTTAACATTTCAGGTCAATTACCTTTCATCAGAACTCGTTAAGTTCTGAAATGTTAACTCACTTCCATCTCTCCATACAACACAACAAAATTACATTTATAGAGCGCCTTTCACATCGGGAGGACGTCCCAAAGCGCTGATGCTGCCTGACCTGCTGAGTGTTCCCAGTGACTTCTGTTTTTATTTAAGAAATGATGGTTATATTGCAAATTGCTTTGAGATGTTTGGTCCTGAGAAAGCAGTATACAAATGCTAGTTATTTATTTCCTTTGAAAGTTAACTGTAGTTCAGTGGTTAGAGCACTCGCCTTGCAAGCGAGACACCTGGGTTCAATTCCAGGCAGGGCGAAACCTTGGGCAAGTTTCCTTACTCCACACACCTAATAATAATCCCTCCAAAACAAAACCAATAATAAATTGGTCATTTTCAATCCATGACTGTTTGTGTGAAACTGCTGTGTGCAATTGGCTGCCTCGTTTCGCCCACAAATATACAGTCAATTCAGTTCTCCCCTCCTCGCTCCCTCCCTTCCCTCCCCCTGACCATTTCCCCCCTGCTCGGGTCCTGACCTAACTGTCCAGTGCTTTGAGACGTCCTTCCGACGTGAAAGGCGCTCTATAAATGGAATCTTGTTGTTGTTGTTGTTTATAGTCTATTCTGTGAAGCGCTTTGAGATATCGAGAAGATGTGAAAAGCGCTATATGAAATGCAAGGATTATTATTATATTATTATAACTGAGCATCTGTAGGTGGAGGATATTGGGTCCAAAATGCCAGCCAGCACAAGCTCCCACAGTAGATCGAGATCATCCTCGTATGTCATTCACTCTGGCCTCTCGTGTGACCCTCCTGATGCCCTCTCAGATGGTGTGAGATAACAGGAACTTGCTGTATGAAACGGTACTGTGTCCTACCATTCTGTAGTGCAATATGTCAGCACACTCTGTTAAGAGGGCTAGCCACCAGCTATATCTGTGGGTGTCTGATACGCAGAAACCCGTCACAGTGGGTGTCTGACTGATACGGAAACCCATCACTATGATCAGCCGTGTGTCTGACACACAGAAACCCATCATCATCATCAGTCGTATATCTGACACACACATGGACACACATCACCATAACCACCCGTGTGTCTGACACATGGAAACCCATCACCATGATCACCTGTGTGCTTGACACATGGAAACCCATCACCACGATCACCCGTGTGTCTGACACATGGAAACCCATCACCATGATCACCTGTGTGCTTGACACATGGAAACCCATCACCACGATCACCCGTGTGTCTGACACATGGAAACCCATCACCATGATCACCTGTGTACCTGACACATGGAAACCCATCACCACGATCACCCGTGTGACTGACACATGGAAACCCATCACCATGATCACCCGTGTGTCTGACATATGGAAACCCACACCATGAATCACCCGTGTGACTGACACATGGAAACCCATCACCGTGATCACCCGTGTGTCTGATACATGGAAACCCATCACCGTGCTTAAGCATCACAATGAGAATTCCTGGAATCTCTCTCTCCCTCGTCACCTAATCCTGGAATCAAAACACAAATAAATTAATAAATAAAACTCTTGGTTTAGAATTGCAAACACAAACAGTGAGAGAGAGACTACAAGTCCCAGAATGCCGTGAGCGGCGCGTCGGTGTCAGCGCGTGCGCAGTGGGACGGGGTGGTCAGCGCGTGCGCAGTGGCGCTGGTGGGGCCGCCGGCGGGTGGCTGTGGAGGCGCGCGCTGCTGCGGGAGCCGGAGTTTGGCGCCGAGACGCCGTGAGGCGGAGGGACAAAAGGCGGCCTCGCTATCAGGTATGTCACCGGGACCAGCAACAGCAACAGGCCGCAGCCCACTCCTCCCCTCCCTGTCACACACACACTCCCGCCCCCGCGCCGCACTCCAGCCTGAGGCCTAGTTGCCACCGCGCGCGCTAGGCGGCGGTTACCGAGTGCCTGAGGGAGGCGGGCGGGTGGGCTTCAGGTGCCCGGTACCTGAGTAAACGCGGCCTAGAATAGAGACACCGCTCTGTCCCCCTGTGCCCGGCCAGGCTGCCCTGGGCTGGACGGTTGGTGGGACACTGAGCGGAGCCCGAGGGTTTTCCGCCTCACAGCGCCCGCCGGCCCTGAGCCTGTCAGTCAGTCTGTCTGTGCAGCTGTCAACACATAGCAACCCCCCCCCCCAACACACACCCTCATCTCCCCCAAACACACACCCTCCTCTCCCCCAACACACACCCGCACCCCCCCTCAACACACACCCTCATCTCCCCCAACACACACCCTCATCTCCCCAACACACACCCGCACCCCCCCTCAACACACACACCCTCATCTCCTCCAACACACACCCTCATCTCCCCCAACACACACCCTCATCTCCCCCCAACACACACCCGCACCCCCCTCAACACACACCACCCTCATCTCCCCCAACACACACCCCTCATCTCCCCCAACACACACCCTCATCTCCCCTCAACACACACCCTCATCTCCCCCCAACACACACCCTCATCTCCCCCCAACACCCTCATCTCCCCCAACACACACCCTCATCTCCCCCAACACACACCCTCATCTCCCCCAACACACACCCGCACCCCCCCTCAACACACACACCCTCATCTCCCCCAACACACACCCTCATCTCCCCCAACACACACCGCCCGCACCCCCTCAACACACACACCCTCATCTCCTCCAACACACACCCTCATCTCCCCAACACACACACCCGCACCCCCCTCAACACACACACCCTCATCTCCTCCAACACACACCCTCATCTCCCCAACACACACCCTCATCTCCCCCAACACACACCCGCACCCCCCTCAACACACACACCCCACTCATCTCCTCCAACACACACCCTCATCTCCCCAACACACACCCTCATCTCCCCTCAACACACACCCTCAATCTCCTCCAACACACACCCTCATCTCCCCCAACACACACCCGCACCCCCCCTCAACACACACACCCTCATCTCCCCCCAACACACACCCTCATCTCCCCCCAACACACACCCTCATCTCCCCCCAACACACACCCGCACCCCCCCTCAACACACACACCCTCATCTCCCCCCAACACACACCCTCATCTCCCCCAACACACACCCTCATCTCCCCCTCAACACACACACCCTCATCTCCCCCAACACACACCCTCATCTCCCCCAACACACACCCTCATCTCCCCCAACACACACCCTCATCTCCCCCCAACACACACCCTCATCTCCCCCAACACACACCCGCACCCCTCAACACACACACCCTCATCTCCCCCAACACACACCCTCATCTATCTTATAGAATGGTGGAACAGGCTCAAGGGGCTGAATGGCTTACTCCTGTTTCTATGTTCCTACTACGGAGGAATTTTAGAGCTAGTTTTTAATCAAAGTCACTGCTGCGTAGTGATGGAGAATGGTGCCATAGCCTCTCACTTGTTTCATCAATACGAATGATTCATTGTGTCACCGACAGGTTTGGTAACAGGGAAGTGACAGCCCAAAGGAACCTTTACAGCGATGTGTTACATCCTAGGTTAGTTGTACACTTCAGTGACTGACAGGTACATTAAATTCATTCAAAGATTAATGGGAGTACAGCAGGATTCTGGTGCTTTTGCTATTGATGGGTCCTTGCTGTGAGACATTTGGAATGAATCTATTTGCTCTACTTTCTCTCTTTTAAAGCACTCCATGGTCTTGCTCCTCCCTACCTCTACAACCTACTTAAACCATGCCAACCTGCCCGCTCCCTCCGCTCAGCGGGCACTGGCCTATACTCCATGTTCCCTGCCCAGCCTGCTCCAGCATCAGGGATCAGGCCTGCAGGCTTTCTGCCCACACCCTCTGGAATTCTAACACAGAGCCCCTCTACCTCGCCCTTCCCTGCCTCCTTCAAGGCCTGTCTCAAGACCTTCCTCTTTAGACTGTGCCTTCAGTCATCCTAGCACCCCCACCTCTCTTGACTCCAACCCCAGCTCAGATACAAGCCCTCGACTGTCCAGCACCTTGGGACGTCCTCGCGATGTGAAAGGCGCTGTGCAAATACAATTTGTTCTTTTGTTACTCAGTGGTGTTTTGAAATGTTTTTATTATAAAGATAATATGTACTAGAACTGCCATCTAATCCTGTAGAGATGGTTATCAGGGAGTCATGTGCCGGCTATAAGGATAGGGTTGTGGTAATGTTTTGTGGCAGAACTGGATTGGCTAATCCACTCTGAAAATGTCACACTGTATCACAGCTTCCAAGCTTTACAACTTAAGAGGCTCCATGTTTAGTTTCTTGCAGAGTAAACCACTCCTTAATCACTGAACCACCTAAAGATATCTACAAGTAACAGAATTCAGGGTGTTTAAGTGCTAAATCTGTAGGGATAATAATTCATTAACTGAATGTAAATGTAACCACTGGTAATTAATGTAACATATAGAAACTATTACCTCTAAGTGAGGAGAAATCCACCAACCTTGCCGGCTAGAATTCCTCTTTTTACAGAACGTTTCAGAGTTCAGTCTCCAACTCAGAAGTTGTTTTTCTCTAGTTACGACAATAATTTAGAGAAAACTAGCTTCAAAATTAAACTGGCATATAAAAATTCATCAAATTCTGGTCGCTCTAAAATCTTATATAATTGTAAATCCTGTTGGAACGTCTTCCGAAGGATGACTATCTTACAGTGCATAATTTCCTCTCTCATGTGTTTCTCGTGTCACTTTGACTCAGTTGGTTTCACTCAAACTTCCGGGTCAGAAGGATATGGGTTGGTACTCCACCTCAGCTAATCATCTCTGCTGACACTTTGCTGCCGTATTGAGGAGCGCTGTATCATCGGAGATGTTGTCTTGCAGATGAGAAGTTAAACCTGGATTCTGTCTGCCTGTAAAGCAAATGTTCAAAGCACCTCCAAAATGGAGCTCACCCCCAGCACTGCTTTAGAGTGTCAGCATAGACTATGTGGGTTCCAAGTCCTGATGTGGGGCTTCAACCAACCACAACAACATCTTGCATTTATCTCACGCCTTTCAAGTGGTTAACATCTTGAAGCACTTAACAGTGGTGAAACAGAAGAGAGATGAGTGAAGGCAGGTCCTGATTCCTGACAATACTCCGAGATAACAATGCTACCAACTGAGCCAGGCTGACACACAGTTACAATAATAATCCTTGCCTGTAATATTGGAATCTCCCAAAGTACAGTACATCACAAATAATTGATGTCAAGTGTAGTGACTGGGTACTGATTGGCAAACACAGTAACCATTTTGCGTACAGCACGATCTCACAAATGGTCACGACATGAACAACCAATTGATTTGGAATTTGACTTGCCAGGACACTGGAAGAAAATCCCTTCCCCTTTGTTCATCAAGGAGTAGTGAAAATCCGAAAATCTCTCCCCAAAAATGAGGTTTGGATGCTGGATCCATTCATATTTTCAAGACTGAGGTGGATAGATTTTTATTGGGTCAGTGTATCAAGGGATATGGGGCAAAGGCAAGTAATTGGAGTTGAGGAACAGATCAGTCATGATCTTATAGAATGGTGGAACAGGTTAGAGGGGCTGAATGGCCTCCTCCTGTTCCTATGTAACCAGCCCAGACCTTACCAGGGAATCTTTGCTGGGTGAGGATGTAGGACCACAGTTGACTCCAGTTGACGCTCCCGTCAAAAACAGCTCTTCGGCTCCTGCCCGCCTGCTGGCAGGGGAATTCCAACCAGGATCGCTCATCGGCCGACGAGATGAGGAGACGATATCCGAGCTCCTGCTGCGGACCAGCCTCTCCGAGTATGAGTACCTCTGCTTCAGCAGTTCGGCCTCGCTCTGCGCGCTCAAGTGAGAGGGGAATGGTGGCAGTCTGCCCTCGGTGCCTCCTATTGCTCCCTCTAGTATGGGAGGATCGGGAGGTGGCTGCGAAGGTCTGGCATAGTGTACTTTAGGCCTGACTATTGACGGTGTGATTGACGCTGAGAAGCAAAAACAATATTAGAATGAATCACTGACTTGACGAACTGTACAAGGTTTCCAGTGAAAATTCTATTATACTGATAGTCTTAAACAAAGGAGCTGACCCTCTGCTTAAGCAGTAACATAAAGAGAAACGTATTAGTCTACAATACATCACAGCAATATCACCAGAAACATGTGTTTGGTTGCTTTGATTTGAGATGGAACCAAGAAGTCGATGAAGCCTGCTCCGCCAGTTTATCAGATCAAAGCAGGTTTTTCAAACCAATTCCCCTGCATTTTTCCCATGTGCATTAATCTTCTGCTATGTATCTCCCAGTGCAAAATGCACCTTGAAAGAGTATCAACCTACCCTCAGAAGCCAGTGGATCAAACATTGCAAGCAAGGAGTCAGTCTGAGAAGGCGGAGAAGTCAGCGAATGAACTCCTGAAGAGAATTCCATGGAAATGACAGACAGAGAATGAAAACATTACGCTGTAGAATTCCCAAACGTACCACCACAGATTCTGAAAGATACACAATACTGAAGACCATGATACCAGAGAAACATTCACCATTCGTTCTGATTTTTAAAAAGCCAGTATTTCATTTACCTATCAACCACTTTTGCGAGGCAACAGAAAAGCACAGTGAGATATTTACACTTGGTCAGAAACCAAAAAAGGCTTAAAATGAAAAAAAACTTGAAAGAAAAGGGGTGAGGAAAACGATTACTTTTGAAATCTAAAGTCTTGCCTTACAATGTGTTGAAAAGATTTGTAAATAATAAGTCCTTGCATTTGATATAGCACCTTATCACCTCTTCAAGATGTCTGAAAGGGCTTCACAGAATATGCTGTAAAGTGAACTGACTGTATATTTTGTGGGCGAATCGCAGCAGCCAACTGTGCACAGCAGAGTCCCACAAACAGTTGTGGATTGAGTGACCAAATTATTTTTTTCACGTCTATTACATGAGGCAAGTTGGAAAGGGCCAAACTGATAATTGCTTTCAGTGACAAACACATTAAAAATGAATTACCAAAATCAATCAGTCACAAAAGGCTGTTTTACAATAAAATGTAATCCATTTATTCCATAGGATGCTGACACTTAATATGTGACATTGAGGCGACAGCCAGTGGGGGGATGCTCGACAGAAGAACTGTAAATAGTATCCAATAGCCCCCACAATCAGGAGTGATTTCTCAGACAGGGAAACAAATTTGGCTTTATCTGGCACTACATACTGTGCAAACGAAGAAGGACCTGTTAGGCTCGAGGGGCTGAATGGCCTACTCCTGTAACTATGCTCCTATTCTTAATTTTGACGTTGTATGAAGGGTGCCAGGGTACCTTTAATGTTATTCGATGGTCAGCGCCTGACAATGCAGCGCTCCCCCAGTACTGTGCTGGAGTTGTCAGACGCCACTGGTTTCCCATCACACAGCGGATCCTGGTCCTCACCTTCAAAGCCCTCCGTGGTCCTGCTCCCCCCGACCTCTGCGACCTCCTAACCTCCTCCCATCCTGCCCGCTCCCTCCGCTCAGCGGGCTCCTGTCTGCTTCACGTCCCCCGCCTCGCTCACCCGCTCTGCCCCCACGCTCTGGAACTCCATCCCGCGGTCCCTCCCCCTCGCCCCCTCCCTCGCCACCTTCAACACCCATCTCAAGACCCTCCTCTTCGACCGAGCTTTCGATCTCCCTGCTTCCCCCCCGCCCTCCGCCCTCCCCCACCCCGGCCCTCAGCTCGGGTCCGAAACTCTGACCGTCCTCCCGACGTGCCAGGAGCTTTAGGTATGTAATGTTGTTGTTGTTGTTGTTGTGGTCAGTCTGGTTTGTGAGCCCATCACCTTCAGAGCCAGAGACCAAAGGTCACCTTCAACTCAGCAATTTACTGACAGCTGAACTCAGTGGGAGCCGAGTTCTCTGCTCTGGCCTGACATGCCTGAGCCGGACCGGCAGAGGGCGAAAGCGTCGGAATACTGAATGAAACGTGAGGGTGACGCGGCGGCCCATCACGCCGGCGTCTGGATGCCCCGTCAAATTGACAGCAAAAAGGTCCAATCAGGAACAGAGCTCTGGCGCCGCTCGCCTCTTGATTGGAGGATGGCGGTCCCTGGCGCACGGCCAATCAGTCAACGCGTCAGGCCGCGGGGTGGCGGGCTCTCCAGATCACGTGCGGCGGGTCCGAGACGTGTCAGCCTCCGGAGTGGCCAGCACTCGGCCGCCGACCAATCAGAAGCGTCCAACACGAGACGCGTCCGACCAATGGCAGCCGTCCACGATGGGGGGAAAGCGGTGAATCTATATAAAGGCGGTGGCGGCGCTGCGCCGGCATCAAAAGCGGAAGATCGACGAGGAGAGAAGGTTTGTGCAGTGTCTCTACACACACGGGGCGGGAAAGACCTTGTTACCTCACAATAATCACCTCAGGCTCAGAGAAGGCTGTTGCCAGAAAGAGAACAAAGATATTAGGTGAGTTCAAGGGCGGCGGAGGCCCGCGCGAGAATGGGATTCGGCCGACGCGTCGGCGGCCCCGGGGGTGGGGGAAGGGGCGCCTCTGACATGCGGTAGGCCGCACAGCGCCGCGCTCGGAGACGGTTGTCTTTATTCTCTGCCCCCGACCTCCCTCACTCACCCCCGCACCCTCCTCGGCCTCCATCCACGTTGACAGAAAGAGAGGCCCCCGCTTGTTGGATGGGCTCTCTCCCCCCTCCCCCCCATCCGGGGAGGCTTGGTGGTGGGGGAGAGGCCGCCCCCTCGGCTCGAAGGAGCCGGCGGGAATAAAGTTTAGAATCGGGTCTCGCTGGAAGCTCCCGAGTATTTTTTTGGAGTTTGATTCGGGAAACCTGTCTCGCGGGTCTTCAGTCTGAAATATCTGCTTCAAACACGCCTCCTCTTCCGCTCTGAATCGCCTAAGATGAGGGGTTCGGGGTTCTCGTCAAATAAGTTTCGAGCTTCAACTTTTTCAGGTCCACATTACTGGGTGGGTGACTGTGGAGAGCTATTGCATAAAGAGCGCAGAATGAAGTGGAGTTCTTTCTGACTAGACCTGACTTGTTAAAAAGTATTCAACACATTGAAGCTTAAAACCCTGTTATTTGGCGAGAACGTCGCACCTCTCACGTTAAACGATTCCGGGGGAGGGGGGCGGGGGATGTGAGATTAATCAGTTTGAAGTTCAAAAGTTGTGGCAGTGCCCCTCCCCCTCCTCCCACATCGTGATCTCTTATGCTTAGATACACTTTAAAGAGGCTGTTCTGAAGGTTGCAGAAGTGCTTTCCTGCTATGTCAAACGTTTTTCTTTCTGCATTGTAGACACTTGAGTTCCTGTGCTCAGAACACTAAAACAGCAAAATGAGACAATATTTCTTGCTATTGCTGGCCTTCAGCTACGTCCTTGCTGATGAAGATGATAGGAAAGATAATGTTGGCACTGTAATTGGAATCGATCTGGGTACCACTTATTCCTGGTAAGTTTGGCAAACAACTGTGTTAGTCTTTTTTTAAAAACGGTAGGATATGTGTTAACTTCAGTTTCCTCCCTCCTTCCAGTGTGGGCGTCTTCAAAAATGGGCGTGTGGAAATCATTGCCAATGACCAGGGCAACCGGATCACTCCATCTTATGTGGCCTTCACAAGTGAAGGAGAGCGTTTGATTGGTGATGCTGCAAAGAACCAGCTGACTTCAAACCCAGAGAACACCGTCTTTGATGCCAAACGTCTTATTGGGCGCACATGGAATGATCCTGCAGTGCAACAGGATATCAAATACTTTCCATTCACGGTAATAATCTAATCTGATTTTTCCCTACAGGGTTAGGGAATCTAGAGTTTCAACCATTGCAGATCTCCCATAGTTTCCCATGATATTTACTTCCTAACATAATTGTAATGACTGGTGTATTTACCCCCTGCTCTAGTATTTGTGACTGCCTGTGTAAATTCTAGCTAATTTTTTTTGTTTAGGTCATTGAGAAGAAGAACAAGCCTCATGTTCAGATTGATGTTTTGGGGCAGGTCAAGACATTTGCCCCAGAAGAGATCTCTGCTATGGTATTGACCAAGATGAAGGAGACTGCTGAGGCCTACCTTGGCAAGAAGGTATTTGATATGAAAAGTTTGCTTTACTGAATTGGTGACTATGGATGGCTAGCTTTTGCACACAAACTGCTACTTGATGTGGGGGTTCTATCCATAGTGACTGTCTCCCACCTTGGAAGTTAATACTGTATAATGTGCAGATTGGGTGGAAGCGAATTGTAAGACAGTTGATAATGTGCATGTACATGGGCTGGCATTTCAAGAAAAGCCTTTGCCTTGCAAGAAAAGAACGAACGATTCAGTACATTTTTTTCATCTTTTGTAGGTCACCCATGCTGTAGTAACTGTTCCAGCCTACTTCAATGATGCTCAACGTCAGGCTACAAAGGATGCTGGGACTATTGCTGGATTGAATGTAATGAGGATCATCAATGAGCCGTAAGTATTTTTATCAAAGAATTTATTGAATGAATACAACTCAACTGGCTAGGTTCAATGTTTTGATCGAGGGTCTTAATTTAGGAAACATTTGCTTTCTCTTCAGGACTGCTGCTGCAATCGCTTACGGCCTGGATAAGCGCGAGGGTGAAAAGAACATTTTGGTGTTTGATCTTGGTGGTGGCACTTTTGATGTGTCGTTGCTCACCATTGACAATGGTGTCTTTGAAGTGGTTGCAACAAATGGAGATACTCACTTGGGTAGGAAATGAACGATACGTTGATGCATTCATTTCAAAAATGAATTGTCGTTAAATTGTTGCAATGAGGATGGCTCTAAGGACAAATATTTTTATAGGTGGTGAAGACTTTGATCAGCGTGTGATGGAACACTTTTTCAAGCTGTACAAAAAGAAAACCGGAAAGGATGTGCGGAAAGATAAAAGATCCATGCAGAAGCTTCGTCGTGAAGTTGAAAAAGCCAAACGCGCACTTTCTGCCCAGCATCAGGCGAGGATTGAAATAGAATCTTTCTTTGAGGGAGAGGACTTCTCTGAAACCTTAACTCGTGCCAAGTTTGAGGAGCTGAACATGGTTAGTGTTTAGATTTTAATGATTTGATTCCTGAAAGGTTGAGTTTGAATGGAATAATATGCTGTTAATCAAGCTCAACTGCTTAAAATATTTGATATTATTTATTGCACTGGATAATATTTCCAAGACTTGGGCTGCATAGGTTGCCCTAATTTTATGGGAGGGAGAGTTGCTTTAAGACCATATTAAGAATAATGACAATTGATTGGAAACTTCTGTTATTGAGAATTTCACTCCAGAAAGCCAGGAGTGAGTGTGTGACAGCTTTAATAATAATAATATTTGCATTTGATATAGCGCTTTTTAAGTCTTCTAGATGTCTCAAAGCGCTTCACAGAATAGACTGAAGTGAACTGACTGTATATTTGTGGGCGAACTGCTTTACTTTATCTTTCTCTACAAAGCTTCTTGTTGCATTATATTTCTCAATGGTACAGCATGTAACTGAGCTCTATTGAAGTGATTGCTGTTTTTTGTCTTTACAGGATCTCTTTAGATCAACTATGAAGCCTGTACAGAAGGTGCTGGAGGATTCTGACCTGAAGAAATTGGAAATTGATGAAATTGTGCTTGTAGGTGGTTCCACCCGTATCCCTAAGATTCAGCAACTGGTAAAGGAGTTCTTCAATGGCAAGGAGCCCTCCCGTGGCATTAACCCTGATGAGGCTGTTGCCTATGGCGCCGCTGTCCAGGGTGGGGTTCTCTCAGGAGACGAGGATACTGGTGAGTGTGTGCTATCTGCACTGTAGCAACCTCTATTTGTGCTTTGCGGCTCAATCGTCAGTTTGACTGAATCTGATCTGAAACCAATTCATTTCTTTACATAGGTGAACTTGTTCTGCTGGATGTCTGCCCCTTGACTCTTGGAATTGAAACTGTCGGTGGAGTCATGACCAAACTCATCCCGAGGAACACTGTTGTCCCAACCAAAAAGTCCCAAATCTTTTCAACTGCTTCCGACAACCAACCCACTGTCACCATCAAAGTATACGAAGGTGAGTATCGAGCACCATCAAGCATCTGGTTCTACTTGTCATTTAGGCAGTTTATTGTTTTCTGTTATACAGCTGATGTAAGATGGGAGAGTGAATTTTGTTTGGCAGCTTGCTGATTTCACTTTCTTTTGGTAGGTGAACGTCCTCTGACAAAAGATAACCATCTTCTGGGAACCTTTGACTTGACTGGGATCCCTCCAGCACCTCGTGGTGTTCCTCAGATTGAAGTAACCTTTGAAATTGATGTGAATGGAATCCTTCGCGTTACGGCTGAAGACAAGGGCACTGGCAATAAGAACAAGATTACCATCACTAATGACCAGAACCGACTGACCCCAGAGGAGATTGAAAGGATGGTGAACGATGCTGAGAAGTTTTCTGAAGAGGACCAGAAACTCAAAGAGCGCATTGATTCCAGAAATGACCTGGAGAGCTACGCTTATTCTCTGAAGAACCAGATTGGAGACAAAGAGAAACTGGGTGGTAAACTGTCATCTGAGGACAAAGAAGTCATTGAGAAAGCCGTGGAAGAAAAGATCGAATGGCTTGAAAGTCACCAGGACTCTGACATAGAAGATTTCAAAGCCAAGAAGAAGGAACTTGAAGAGATTGTACAACCGATCGTCAGTAAGCTATATGGAGGTGCAGGAGAAGCCCCAGTGCCAGAGCCAGAGCCAGAGGATTATGAGAAGGATGAATTATAATCTCAAAGTCTCCCAAGATGTTGATTTTGTAAATATTGGACTGACTTTATTGTCTGGGAAAGGATTTGGATGTTGGACTTAAATCTTGAATGTATGAGCGGAGTCTTCACTGCTGAGTGGAGTTAACATACTGGGCTCAATGGCTGCCCAACTGCTTTGCATTGCAGTTAGCGCATGAAATGTTTGAAGGGGAGTGTATTGGGGTGGGGGGGGGGAATAGTGGAGTAAAGGGGTTGGAACACAATTTTCTCCAAGTGCATAAAACATTTTTCTATTTATTTGGAATTGGTTGTTTGGTCTGTGTAAAATGTAGAAGATGTTTTCTACTGTAATTGACCAATAAATGTTATGTTTGATATGAATGCTCCTTTCCTCGTCTTGAAAATGCTCTATTGCGTTTAGAATGATTGCCGGAATGTTTTGAGATCTGTAGGATACACAATGTGGTGCCAAGCTTTTGACCTCACAGTATTTCTAACTATTTTGGCTACTTCTAACTTGTGATCAAACCAAGAATGATATCTGATCTAAGGACTTGTACTAGCGAAGAACCCAACTCAGTCCATTTTGATCAGGATGGGAACCTTGACAAAAGATTACCAGGTGTAATGATATTCAATAATAAATTGTTTTGATTTAGTGGCTTTCAGGTGGAAGCTTTATTGGTCATTGGACAAGTGATAGCTAACTTATTCTTTACAGTACAATAAGCCCTGTGGTCTTGGATGAAGAAAATACTTTTAGATTCTCAGTAAAGTACTACCCAACCAATAGAGGGTTCTAGGGTCATTGTAACAAAATGAGATTTAAAGACTTATTTGTAGAATTGTATCTGAAACCAAAAGGGAACTTTGGGAGCTATCATTAGTACTTGTTAAACCAGGATAGTTTTAATATGTGACAATGTTGAAAGAATGTAATGAATTGGGCAATGTAACATTTTAGCTGCAGGATGACCTGGTCTTTTGGAAAAGTTTCCCACCAGTACAGCAAATAGTGAGTATATGCCTCATGTTGCCCAAACTGCAAGATGTAAATGGCATCTACTCCCATTTGGAATTGGAACATCCCTACCACCCATCAATGTGCATGTATTTGGGGAAACTATTCTAAACTTACACACTGCTATGCAAAGTGTCTTTCCCAGATAGTAACCAGTGCAGTGTGTGCTAACCTTTACCTAATGCACAAGTTTTAAATGGCATCTGTACAATTTGAATTGTAGATGTGCAAACTCAACTTCAAGCTTGTAATGCGGTACCCAGATATTTTATAAATAAAAATGAAGAAAATGAATGGATGAATATTTATAATTTCTGAATTTCAATAAAATTGTGATTGTTTTTTTTCCTCCTACTACACTGAAAACAGAATAGCACTTATTCAAATTGGGTTGATTGCACTTAAGATAGAACTGTGAAAACAATTACACAGAAAGTTCCCAAATCAGAAATAATGAACAATGAAAAACAATGTTTTAATGAGCTGGACATCGCTGCCCTTTTGTCCACATGTAAACTTTTAAATGCAGCCATTTTCTGACCATGATGGTTTAAAATATCTTAAAGCTAGACAGACGATGGAAAACAAATGCACTGTTTTATAGGACGTCTTGGGTGAGTAGTTACAATTGGACCCCATTATAACAGGCTTCGGTATAGCAATGATTCATTTATAGTGCTGGCCTCAATTGGCTTGCTTCCCTTAATATGCTGCACTTGCTCAGAACATTGGAGTCCTGTAGCTTAGTGGTTAGAGCATTTGTCTCAAGTGAGAGAACCTAGGTGAAACGTTGGGCAAGATTCCTTATGCCACATACCTTTGTTTAGCGGGCAGTAAGTAGAAACCCAGTTAGTTGATTGGTGGATCACTTTTCCAGGGGTAATAAATACCTTTTAAAAAAAAAGTCACTCAATCCACAACTGGCTGTGTGCAATTGGCTGCTGGTTTCTCACACAAAGTGCAGTTGATTCACAGTATTCTGTGAAGTGCTTTGAGATGTCTTGAAGATATGATAAAGCGCTATATTAAATGCAAGGATTTTTTAATATATTATAGAAGACATGCCAGGATCAGCAGCCTCCCTTGCAGTTGCAGGAAACACCAGAGAGCAGTCACTGCTGACCAGCTGCTGGAAGTGACATCAGAGGTGACTTGACAACTCAAAACTAGTGGTTGTTTTTATAACCAGAGCCTGACTTTTAAACACCCAACTCACCGTGCTACATATATCAGGATCTAATGTATCACTGATCATCAAGCAGGGTAACATAGCAGTCATTGTAGATTTCCCCTCCAGTGTCCATCCCTCCAAATATCAAGCAGACATGGACAGTTGTCGGGGTATCTCTTTCACTCTTGCAGTGCTGATCAGGCCTCAAAGATTCCTCAGCCACTTCTCCCTTCGCAGTATCTTTGTCATTTTTGATTGTTTCACAAGGCCTGCTTGCTGCTTCTGTCCTGACTTTCCAGGGTAAGACACACATGGCATGATCCAGGCTCCTGGGAGGCAGGCTGGAGTCAAACTTTAATAGCATCCAGCAACGTCTTTCTGTGTGAATTGGGAAAAAAATGTTACTTCATATTAAGTACAGTATAGAAAAGTCCAAGATAGGGTTCTAAGCTGGCTAATGTACAACTATCAGTTTAATGAGGAAAATAATTTATATTTATTTGATTGAAGGCTTACTGTGAATGGTGGTGGAGTTCTGAAATGTCAGACCAATGCTGCTGGGTGTGCTTCCTCGTGATTCACAACCAATGGGAAGCACTTACCGATGTGGTACTTGTACATGCTGTTCAGTGCTCCTGTAGTGTCCATTCCGCCAAAGATGTAAATGTACTTTCCCAAGGAAACAGACGAATGAGCAGCACACCCAGCTGGGACATCTCCCTTCACTTTCAGCTTTTCCCATTTCATGGTAACTGAAGGCGCAAAATACACACTAAATAATGTCTGGTGCAACACATTTCCATTCATATTTATCAATTATGTGAGAAATAAAATAATTTCTTATTCAGGACCTACCTGTGTTGAGACTGTACATGTCATTGAGAAACTTGACCCCCGCTAATCCTCCATGGACAAATAACTTGCTACCAACAGCCACCATCACATGACCATGCCGTGGAGTTGGGCTCTTTCCTTCTGTTGATGGCTGAGACCAACTGAGTGAGGCTTTAGAAATTCAGTGCATTAATACTTTATAATTGATACATTTCGTAATCCTACATTTGATACAGCACCTTTTACGCCAGAAGGATGTCTCCAAGCGTTTCACAGGATACGCTATTGACTGTGTTTTGCAAGCAACCCCTTTAGTCTTCAGTACTCTTTACGTAAAGTACAGTGAAATCCCCCACTCGTTAACCAGTAAGAAATCAGCTGATCTCAGCGGGAACAGCAAATGGAGCGTTACAATTAATTAGCCTCAGAGTGTGGGACAGACAGGGGAAAGGTTCAACTGTGGGCAGTGCATAGAAGCGGTTGGTTTGGAGGAGGTGGATAGGATTTTTCACCAGTAAAATCAAAGTACAGATCTTATTGCCATGCTTTTGTCCCTTGTCCATGCCTTTGTCACCTTGGCTGGACTACTTTAACGCCCTTCACCGGTCTCTCCTCCTCCAGTATTCACAAAATCCAGTTCATTCAAAACTCCGCCACCTGCACCAAACTCCATACCCCGATTACTCCAGACCTTGCCAAATTCCACTGGCTCCATCTCAGAGAGGATCGACTTCAAGATCCTCACTCTAGTGTTTAAATCCCTCCATTCCTTGGCAGCCCTATCTCTAATCCCACAGCAGGTAGCTGCCTCTGCTCTACTGGGTCTGGCCTCCTCCAGGTCCCACAATTCCTCCGCTCCACCATCGGCGACCGTGAATGTGAACTGCGTTGTCCCAGAACAAGATCAGCCATAATCGTGACCTAATAAAATGGCAGAACAGGCTCAAAAAGCCAAGTAGCTTCCTCCTCCTGTACCTAACAAAATCTCTCATGAGGTAAAAGAGTTGTGCGTACTTGTATCAAATACATGCAGTTGGGTGTCTTGTACAGGCTCTGCTCCTTTGTCTCCCCCACCAAAAACATACAGGCAGTCTCCGATAGCTGCAGTGGAGCTGTGAAATGTCCGTGGAGTTGGGGGAGTCCCACTCACTGCCGGGCTTCTCCAAGCTCCCGTCTCTGATTCATTAAAAAGAAATTCAACCACCGGTTATTTTACAATAAATTACCATGGTTACTTGATTTACAAGAAATACAAAAGACAGCAGAATTTGGAGGTAAGGACAGGCCTGCAAGTAATAATAATAATCCTTGCATATAATATAGCGCCTTATCACGTCTTCGAGGCGTCTTAAAGCACTTTACAGAATATGCTGTAAAGTGAATTGACTATATTTTGTGGGTGAAACACAGCAGCCATTAATGCCCCACAAACAGTCGTGGATTGAGTGACAAAATTTTTTTTATAAAAAGGGATTATTACACCCGGAAAAGCGATCTGCCAATCCACTAACAACTGGTTCCTACTTACTGTTAGGTAAACAGGCGTGTGGAGTAAGGAAACTTGTCCAACATTTTGCCTTGCCCAGGAATCGAACCCAGGTCCACTCGCTTGTGAGGCAAATGCCCCGACCACTAAGCTACATGACCAAATCAAAGGAGCACTTGGATGTCAAAGTTTTCTTGTCCTTTCTCTGACCGAGCTTGTGAATGACAGAAGGACATCAGCGAGGTACGGAAATTGGTCGTGAAATGTAACTTTACCAAAGTTCAAAACTTGAACGCAGTTCCTGTTTCCACATTGATCTGCGCCACCAAACAGCCACAGATTGTCAGATCTGTTTGCGGGAATAAAGGTGCAATGCTCGTAACGTGGCAACAGCCCCTCCCATTCTGGGATGTTCCACTCAAGCGTGTCTATGTGAGAAGAGGAGCAAAAAAAAATCAGCAAATGTTCACTCAGGGGTTAATAAGCAGGAGGTAATCTAGAAGTAAATGACAGGAGTTTAACACAAACCAGGAACCATACTGTTCTTTGCTGAGATTCACACAACAACTCATTGGGACATGCTAAGATTAATGCTACATGTTCCAGATGTGTTCTGACCACACCATTGGCAATAGGAATTTAAATTTATACAGCACCTTTCACACAGCATGAACTTCTCAAAGCACATATCAAACATTATTGTGAGCACTGAGTAAGTAGGAAGGGAGAATCAAGCATTATAGAATTATACAGCACAGAAGTATAATTACAGTAAGCTTCCCTTTTAGAGAAAGTGAGCCCAGTCAAGCAAATGGGTTTTGGTTTGTTTTGCACATAGGGCCAGTGCAGTACTTGCTCTCTCTCTCTGCTCAGGGCACAAGATATAATCATAGAATTAGTAATTTCGGCCCATCGTATGTCTGTACCGGCTCTTTGAAAAGAGCTATCCAATTCAATTCCACTCGCCCACGCTCTCCCCATAGCCCTGCAAACTTATCCTCCCCAAATAATTATCTACTTCTCTCTTAAAAGTTGTTATGTAATCAGCTTCCACCACCCTTTCAGGCAATGCATTCCAGATCCGAACAACTCGATGTGTGAAAACATTTCTCCTTACCTCTCCTGTTTCTTTTAACAATTATTTTAAATCAGTATCCTCGAGTTACTGACCCACCCGCCAGGGGAATTAGTTTCTCCTTGTTCACCCGATCAAATCCCCTCATAATTTTGAAAACTTCTATTAAGTCTCGTCTTAACCTTCTCTGGTCCAAGGAGAATAATCCTAGCTTCTCTAGCCTCTCCTGATAACTGAAGTCCCTCATTCCTGGTACCATCTTGGTAAATCTCCTTTGCACCCTCTCCAATGCCTTGACATCCTTCCTAAAGAATAGTTCAGAAATCACTGAAAAATGACCGGCAACATTCCATGCAAACAAATAATAACAAAATTAAGGCGCTGAACAGTTGGGGATCAGACCCAAGCTTAGGCGGAGGTCAGGGTTGGAGTGAGCGAGGGCAGAGAGATAGGAATGCAGCAGAAGGCATGGTCGAAAAGGAGGATCTTGAATTGTGCCTTGAATAAAGCAAGGGAGGGAGCAAGGTGAACTGTGGGATGAAGTTCCAGGGGTCGGAGCAGAGAGGCTGAAAGCCTGGCTGCCAATGGTAGGGCGTATCAGGCGGGAGTCACGGAGCAGGGTGGAGCCTGCTGAGCGGACAGGTTGATAGGGGGTCAGCAGGTCAGAGATGTAGGAGGGAGCAACGCCGTGGAGAGCCTTGAAAGTGAGGATTTTGAATTCTATCCTCTGAGGGATGGGGAGCCAATGGAGCCTGGCGAGGTTAGGGGTGATGGTGTGGGAGAGCACATAAGCTGCAGAGTTCGGGATAATCTGCAGCTTGTGGAGGGAAGAGTTGGAGAGGCCGACAAGGAGGGAGATTCCGTAATCGAGCCTTGAGGTGATGAATGCATGTATGAGGGTTTCGTACATAAGAGATCATTTTACTTAAGAAAGATTGTACTATTATGAAATCTGCCTTAGTTAACATGATTAATTTGTGGAGTTCTTACCCAGCTCCAAGATGTGGGCATCAGAGAAGCTGCCATTAGGGTTTGCACCTCCCACTATAATGACCTTCCCTTTCCCAGAACTGTGCAGAGCGACTGTGAGAGTATGTCCAACTCGAACTCCTGGGTTCTCTCCTTTCGGTACAAGAGTGTACCTACAGAGGGCACAAATAGCAAGAAGTTTGTGAGAAGTCAGTGATGTTACGTACAAGCAAACAATCTTCAAACAATGGGATTGTATCATAGATATTCCCAGCATATGGGCAGTAATCATCCCTGAGAGCTATCAAAATCAGCTGTTCTGCTGAATTTCTCCCCAAATAAACTCTTTAAGAATCTTTTCTCCAACTCCCCAAAAAGCATGAAGCTTCCTTCCCCTTTAAAATGAGCTGTGCTAGTGATGGAGATGTGGGATGCTTTGTTTCAGTTTCTCAAACAAATGGTCCATCCTCTTAAACAATATTCATTGTGGAGTTGATGGAGGACAACCACATTGTTTCAGACCACCTACCATATTGCTTTCTGGGGACATTCCTCCGGTTCTAAGACTGCTATCAACTCCATCACCTCTTCCCAATAAATCTGGAATAAAGTCAGCAAGTTTTGAATCATCTAAACTTACAGAAAACACATTCTGTATAAATAGCAGGTCCTTCACAATAATGTAATAATAATCCTACATTTGATACAGCACGTTATCACGTTGAAACACAGTCAAATATATTTTTAAAGCCACAAGTTACTCCATGGCACAGCATCTTGGAAGCACCCCAACCTATATGCTAAGATCAACCAAGAATATTGAAAAGTCTGAAAGTGTTTCACAGATAATTGTACTTAAGCAGACTCTTTCATGTAAAATAAAACATCTTGAGAGCGTTTTAACAATCTGACCCCGGGGGCGAGATCCTGAGACAGGCCACACCTTGTTGTAAGAGGAAGTGATGGGAGACTGATGAAAGTAGATGTCGGGACGATGAGGAGAAACAGAAACCAGGAGGGAAAACGCCACGATTTATTTGACAACAGCAGCAGCAGCGGGAAGGCAGGGTTTGAAGGAGAGGACGACTCCTCTTACGGTATTTGTTTTTGGCGTCTGACACAGGTGGAAACCCATCACCGTCGCTTAAGAGCATCCAAACCCAAACTGAGATCTCTGTGCATTCCCACCAGCACAAGGGAATCCCAGAGACAGATTGTTGGACCGGAATGCGCTCGCGCTCTCCCCCTCTCTCGCTCTCCCTCCCTGGAGGGGCGCGTCCTGGCGTTTGATGCAGCGCCTCGTCACATCACGTTGTTGAGACGTCACAGAGCGCTTCACGGAATAGACCGCAAAGTGTAGTGACTGTGCGTTTCGTGGGCGAAACCCGGCACAGCCAATCGCGCACAGTGGCGATCCCACAAACAGAGGTGGATTGAGTGACCAGATTATTATACAGTTTGTGGGGGGGAAGGGGGGGATTATTATAACCAACTTCCTGCTTACTACCCGGTAAACAAGAGAGGAATTGCTTACCTAACTGCAGGGAGTATTAGGCTCAGGCTGCAGGAAGAAGCACAGGCCGCTCACAGCCCCCCCCCCCCCTCCCCCACCTGTTGCTATAGCAACCGCCCCCTCCCGTTGCTATGGGAACCGCAATGCCCCCCCCACCCACACACACGGGTGTCGCCTCACGCTGTGGCTCAGCCGCCAATCAGGAGCCACAGGGCGGGCGGGAGGACGCGGAGCGGCTCGAGCCTTTGGCGAGGCACCGGGAGGAGAGGCGGCGGGCGGGAGACCGGGGGAGGCGGCTTCTTTCTTTCTTCCCCTCCCTCTCGAGAGTGTGAAGGTCAGGCCTCACGCGCGCGCCATTCCCCGGGACTCTTCGCTCCGCTCCAGAGACGAGCGGAAACTCGTCACCGGGGCCTCAGCTCAGGCTCGGTCTCGGGGGCGAAAAAAAAACCCCAGTCCCAAAATGGCGCCCCTGGACCTGGAGAAGTACGTGGAGATCGCCCGACAGTGCAAGTACCTCCCGGAGAACGACCTGAAGGTGAGAACGACCTGAAGGCCCCACTCGCGCGCTCTCTCTCTCTCTCCTCACCCCGCTCCGCAGCCCCGGGAAAATGGCTCCAACCTGAGGTGTTTCTCTCTCTCACTCCGCGCCTCCCCTTAGTTCCGGGCCTTCAGCGTCTGCAGCGGCTTCAGTATCTTCCAGCCAAGCCTCCGTACAGCAGCGGTGACCGGCGGGTCAGGGCCGGGCCGGGGTGGGGTCAGGGGGCCTCTCTAGCCGACTCCAAACCCAAGGCGATGCTGTTGGGTCGGTCTGTCGAGCGGACCTGTCACTGTGAGCAGCCTCTCCCGCTTCCTGCTCCGTTTGTACCACTTGTCAAACCCTCTCTTCATCTCATCTCACCCCATCTCCACCCCCTCCCTCCCCGGGTCCTTCCTGCACTTGTACTCCCAACTGTAATAACAATAATTAATAATAATCCCTGCATTTGATATCGCGTCATTGTCACGTCTTCAAGACGCCCCAAAGCGCTTCACAGAATATACAAGACTATGTTTTGTAGGCGAAATCTTGCTCTGTAACTGTAATTTAAGCGCCCAGACACTACCCTGCATGAAGGGCTCTGTATAGGTGCAAATTGTTGTTGTAACCTCGATCTTCTTTTAACCAGTGTTTTTTTAATGAGCAGCAATCTCTGATTCACTCTTATTGTCGGTAAATGTTTTATAACATCTGGCTTTCAAACTCTTAATGTGCAGTTGAGGAACCTCTCTCCCCCACCCCTTATCTTCCCCAAAAAGAATCACAATTTTGTTGGTCTCCAAAATATCTATCAGGAGCTTTTTTTTCTCTGCAAACTGCTTTGAGTCCTGTGTTTTGCTTTTAATGTGGTTGTAGTTTGCACACCCAAGGAAGCTTTCAAAACACTGCACTGAGATGCTGATTTTAAGTTTCTGTTCATTTTCTAGCGATTATGTGACTACGTGTGTGACTTGCTGTTGGAAGAGTCCAATGTGCAGCCAGTTTCTACGCCAGTTACAGTTTGTGGGGACATACATGGACAGGTAACAAGTACTTTATTTCTCCCCGTCCCTCCCTCTTCTGGAGGTGTGACCTAATTTTGGAGTTTAGGTCAGAGTGTTTGTGTTTGGGTCCTTACTCGAATTGTTGCAATTGGCCTCAGTGTCCTTGGTATTTGAGGGGTCCAGGCATCCATTCTATTATTCTCATTGCTATCCACTGACACTTACATGCATGTGTTGTGCAGTTGAGATTGATTTGATACTATAATAATAATAATACTGTACTGTATTGATACTACTGTATAGTTGAATACTGTATAGCCCACTGATGGATGACATAGGTTCACACACCAGTGATTTGCACTTGATGCATTGGACAGTTGCAGGACCGATGCTCCAGCTCGAGTCTGAACTTAAAGTGATATTTTGGAGATTGAATGTAAACTTTGCTTCTGATACATATACTTCAGTGTTTTTAACCAATCCCTACACAACCATTGCAAGTCTTAGAGTGATCCATAAATAATTTGAATTGTTATTGCCATTTCTTGTTGCATAGTCTACTTCCAGCTATCAATTGCTCTGTATGGAATTTTTCCATGAGCAGTAAATTCTGAGCTGAGATTCCTATGGTGCCTGCTAGCCTTTTTAATAGGGGTGAGGGAAAAGCAGCATATGTAGGCACGAAGGGCAAACGCACTTAAGATAAATCTTCCCAATGAGTCAGAGGATAATTAATTATATTGCAGAGATGAGGGAGGTTCTTGGTTTGAACTTCGTTCTGGGCTATTTCTGAGCCAGATTAGTAGTATTTGCTCTGAAAACTGCAGTCTGTGAAATCTAGTGACCATTCTTACCTATATGAATGCCTGAGGGCCTGCGAATGTGAGAGACCGAACACCACTAATTTAGTGGCAAGTAACTGTAAATATTCCCAAGCAGAATTTAAGTGGTTTCATCAAGGGTTAAATAAGGCTGACACATTTATTTTGTCCTTAGTTTGTGATGTCCAAAGGTTTGCCCCGTCGTCCCCTAAATTTGTCTCATCACCAAGATATTACTACTTCACTGAAGAAATAATGGTGAAATATACTTACAAATGCCTGACATTTACTTTTTCAGTTACATTAGTTATTTATGGATTAAAGTAGTTTTTTCAGCTTGTATTTTGAAATGAGCTTTTTGCTTTACCAAAGTACTATCCTACACTTGAATATAGTGTGAAAAGTAATAATCAAATTGTCTTTGTCATGTATCAAGTTTAACGGAAATGAATATAAATACTGTACTGCAAGCTTTGAGATTTTATATCTTGTACTCCTCAAATGGTTAGTTTCACATCTATTCTCATGTTCCAAAATAACTTGAAATAAGTGACCAAGATTGATAACTGTTTTTAATAACTGTTTATGAACTGCATAATGCACATTCCCCCAATTTGTCGTATAGAAAGTTTATAGTGCTTTTGTTGCTCAAAAACACTATTATTTCAAACATCTGCAGTTGTAGTATTATACAAACTGCAAAATGCTGTATTGGTCTTAAAATAAAATCACTGTTTGCAATGGTAATTATTTCTTTTGTACTTTGCGATGTTTTGATTGATTATCAGCTGTAAAGATGCAAGTTTTAAAATAGATTAGCTTTGTTTTATAAAAGGGTTTGTATTCAATTCATAGCATAACCTACACCTTTTGATGTCTTTGCAGTTTTATGACTTGGGTGAGCTGTTCAGAACTGGGGGTCAAGTTCCTGACACAAACTACATATTTATGGTAAGTTTTTTTTGTAAGATATCTTTGTAACATATTCGACTGTATCTGTGGGTGTATTTTTTAAAAAAAATACTATTTCCCTGAATGTGATTGAAACCCGTGCTATAAATAGTGTTTTCCTTCCAGCCTGGTTAGTAAACTTCACTCCATCTTTACTACAAAAGTTCGGACCTATTTGCACATTGATTTGTGATCTCAGTGTTAGTCAATCCTACCTCCTGTATAGGTCAGTTCCCGTGGGTAACTTGTGGCAGTATGAGACTGTCTGATATTACACTCTGAAACTGAGGTTTAAAGAGAAGCTGCTTGACGATATTCTTGTCTGATCATTGATTTTGTAGTTCTGCAGGAGTTAACTGCTTTCAGTCCCATGTATTTCTGGCAGGCAAGCAACACTGTAAGGTGCTGAGCTTTGTAGATGTGGTTGTATTTGCCTCGCAAGTGAGAGACCTGGGTTCTATTCCCGGCAGGGTGAAATGTTGGGCAAATTCCCTTACTCCACATGCCTCTGTTTACCATAGCAGTAAGAAGGAACCCAGTTGTTAGTTGATTGATAACAGTCTCTTAAAAAAAAAATTTGTGCACTCAATCCACGACTGTTTGTGGGACACTGCTGAGCGCAATTGGCTGCCGCGTTTCGCCCACAATTATACAGTCAATTCACTTTACAGTATATTGTATGATGGGCTTTGAGGCGTCTAGAAGACGTGAAAAGCACTATATCAAATGCAAGGATTACTATTATTCAGCTTACTGTTATTTTTCAAAAAAAATTCAACTCTGTGTTCTTGTAACCATAACAGGGTGATTTTGTTGACCGAGGATATTACAGCCTTGAAACTTTCACCTACCTTCTCGCGTTAAAGGCAAAATGGCCTGACCGTATCACACTCCTTCGAGGAAATCATGAAAGCAGACAGATCACACAGGTCTACGGGTTCTACGGTAAGCTGTAAGGTGAAAAACACACGACCTGTGAAGGGGGATTTTGATAAGGAATTGGCATTGATCAACCAATAACGGTTTAAACACATTTTGTTCAGTTATTGTATTTTGACCCTAATGTGTTCAAGTAAACTTGTATTTTGTTTTAAACAGATGAATGTCAAACAAAATATGGAAATGCTAATGCTTGGCGATACTGTACCAAAGTCTTTGACATGCTAACAGTAGCAGCTGTAAGTACATAATAATAATACACGCTCGTATGACGCCATTGTAGATATTTGTGATGTTCAACAGCGAACGAGAGGGGAGGGGGTCTTTCACATACCCATGAGTTGTGCAGGAGCTACCATTGCTTGTGGAATACCCCCATCCTCCCTGTCCTCCACCCCCACTGATCCCAACCCCCAGCTCGGGTCCAAATCCCTGACTGTCCAGTGCCTTTGGGATGTCCTCCTGAAAGGCAATGTGTAAATGTAATTTGTTGTTGCCACGTCACTCAGTCTAGGTCGAAAGGCAATAATGGGAACCTCAGCGTGTTTCACTGAGTCTAGAGGTTGGATAGGAGTCAGACAGGATATGTTGAGAGACTTAGACCTTGATGTAGTCCATGCTTTGTTCGGGAATGGTTGATTTAGACGGTGAGTTTAACAGATGATTCATTTATCTTTTTTTTAGTTTGTTGGGCTGACTATATGTGGATTGCGCGTGTTGCTAAAACTAAAACCTTTTTTTTGGAATGAGCTTTAGTGATCTAGAAGCCTTCTAGATCACTGAAGTGGGAAGCCTTCAAGGGGGAGATAGTTCGGGGACAGAACAAATGCATTTGCATGAAGGTGAATGGGACGTCCTCCCGACGCGAAAGGCACTCAATAAATGTAATGTTGTTGTTGTTGGTAGGGCATCAAAAGCTCCCTGGATGAGTAAGGAAATTGGGATTAAAATGAAACAAAAAAAAGAGGCTAATGATAGGTCAAAAATACAGAAGATAATCAAACAGAATATAAAAAGTGCAAAGGAGAACTAAAAAAGGAATTAAGAGGGGCAAAGAGATTGTATGAGAAAAGATTAATGGGTAACATAAAAGGAAACCCTAAGGTATTTTATAAGCATATAAAGGGTAAAACAAAGGAAAGGTGGGGCCGATTAGGGACCAAAAAGGAAATCTTGTGGAGGCTGAAGTACTGAATGAATACTTTGCTTCTGTTTTCACTAAAGAAGAGGATGCAGCCAATACCACAGTAACGGAGGAGAGGGTAGAGAAATTGGATAGGATAAAAATAAACAGAGAGAAGGTACTAAACAAGTTGACAGTGCTCAAGGTAGATAAGTGACCCGGTCCCGACGGGATGCATCCTAAAATAATGAGGTAAGTTAGGGTGGAAATAGCAGTGGCTCTGGCCACAGTCTTTCAGTCCTCCTTCAACACTGGGGTGGTGCCAGAGGACTGGAAGGTTGCAAATGTTACTCCCCTGAACAAGAAGGAAGAGAAGAATAAATCCGGGAACTACAGGCCAGTCATCTTAAAGTCAGTTGTGGGGTAACTTCTAGAGACGATAATCCGGGACAAAATAAATTTTTACTTGGAAAATATGGGTTAATATTTGTTAAAGGCAAATCATGTCTGACAAACCAGATTTTTTTGAAGAAGTGATGGAAGGGGTGGTTGAAGTTAGTGCAGTTGATGTAGTATATATAGATTTTCAAAAGGCGTTTGATAAAGTGCCACATATTAGACTTGTTAGCAAAATTGAAGCCCATGGTATTAAAGGGACAGTTGCAGCATGGATACAAAAATGTCTGGGAGGCAGCAAGCAGTAATGGTGAACTGTTGTTTTTCTGATTGGCGGGAAGTGTGCAGCGGTTTCCTCCAGGGGTCGGCATTAGGACCACTGCTTTTTGTTAAATATATATAAATGATCTGGGTATAGGGAGCACAATTTCCAAGTTTGCAGATGATACAAAGCTGGGAAAAGTAGTAAACTGTGAGGAGGATAGTAGCAGACGGCAAGAGGACATAGACAGACTGCTGACGATGCAAACTCATTGCTTGTCGGCCTCCCCAACTCCTCCCTCCACAGGCTGCAGATCATCCAGAACTCTGCAGCCCGTGTCCTCTTTACAAATGTAATTTTGTTGTTGTTGAAATGGGCAGACACGTGGCAGATGAAATTTAATGCAGAGAAATGCAAAGTGATGCATTTTGGGAGGAAGAATGAGCAGAGGCAATATAAGATAGATGGTACAATCTTAAAAGAGGTGCAGAGAGACCTGGGGGTTCACATAAGCAAATCTTTGAAGGTGGCAGGAAAGGTAGATAAAGCTGTTAAAAAAGCATACAGGTTGCTTTATGAACAGGGGCATTCAATACAAAAGTAAGGAGGTTATGATGAACCTTTATAAAATACTGATTAGACCTCAGTTCTGGGCACCACCCTTTAGGAAGGATATCAAGGCCTTGGAGATGGTGCAAAGCAGAATTACCAGGATGGTACCAGGAATGAGGGACTTGAGTTATGTGGAGAGACAACAACAACAACAACAACAAGATTCCATTTATAGAGCGCCTTTCACGTCAGGAGGACGTCCCAAGGCGCTGCACAGTTGGGTCATGACCCGAGCAGGGGGGAAATGGTCAGGGTGAGGGGAGGGAAGGGAGGGAGCGAGGAGGGGGGAAATGGTCAGGGTGAGGGAAGGGAGGGAGCAAGGAGGGGGAAATGGTCAGGGTGAGGGAAGGGAGGGAGCAAGGAGGGGGAAATGGTCAGGGTGAGGGGAGGGAAGGGAGGGAGCGAGGAGGGGGAAGAGAGTCGAGAGGGGAGCTGAAGGCACGGTCAAAGAGAAAGGTTTTTAGACCGGCCTTGAAGGAGGAAAGGGAGGAAGCAAGGCGAAGGCACTGGGGGATGGAGTTCCAGAGCCTGGGGCTGAGAGGCTGAAGGCCCGACCACCGATGGTAGGGCGGTTGGGGCGGGGGACGTGGAGCAGACCAGAGCCAGAGGAACGGAGGGTACGGGCAGGTAGGTAGGGGGATAGTAGGTTGGAGAGGTAGGAGGGAGCAAGGCCGTGAATGGCCTTGTAGGTGAGGATGAGGATCTTGAAATCAATCCTCTGGGGGATGGGGAGCCAGTGGAGGCGAGCGAGGGTGGGAGTGATGTGGTCGCGAAGCCTGGTGCGGGACAGTACACGAGCTGCAGAGTTCTGAATGACCTGCAGTGTGGAGGGAGGTGGCGGGAAGGCCGGCGAGGAGAGAGTTCCCATAGTCCAGCCTTGAGGTGACAAAGGCGTGGACCAGGGTTTCAGCGGCGTGAGGGGTGAGGTAGTGCCGTAATCTGGCGATATTCCGGAGGTGATGGAAGGCGGTGCCAGTTGTAGTGCGGATGTGAGGGAGAAAGGACAGCTCAGGGTCGAACAAAACGCCGAGGTTCCTGACTGGCTTTGAGAGGTGGAGAGTGCAGCCTTGGATGCTGATGAAGCTAGGGTTGTTCTCCTTGAGCAGAGAAGATTAAAGGGAGATTTAATGGGGTTGTTCAAAATTATGAGGGGAATTTAATAGAGTGAACAGGGAGAAACTGTCACCACTGGCGGGTGGGTCAGTAACCAGAGGGCACTGATTTAAGATATTTGTCAAAAGAACCAGAGTGGAGATGAGAAATTTCTTCACGCAGCGAGTTGTTTGGATCTGGAATGTATTGCCTGACAGGGTGGTGGAAGCAGATTCGATAACAACTTTCAAGAGAGAAGTGGATAGATATTTGTGGAGGACAAATTCGCAAGGCTGTGGGGAGAGAGTGGAGGAGTGGGATTAATTTGGATAGCTCTTTCAAGAGCTGTTCTAATTGAAGCTCTTCCTATTTGTTGTCTCACTAGTTGATAGACGAGCAGATCCTGTGTGTGCACGGGGGGCTTTCTCCTGACATCAAGACTCTCGATCAAATCCGAACCATCGAGCGTAACCAGGAGATCCCACACAAAGGAGCGTTCTGTGACCTGGTTTGGTCCGATCCTGAGGACGTAGACACCTGGGCCATCAGTCCTCGTGGAGCAGGCTGGCTCTTTGGGGCCAAAGTTACCAATGAGGTAAATTGTTGCACTATGTGTCTCAGTACATTAAGTCTGGTGGGGTTGGGGGTCTGTATAACATTAGACTGCTGTACATTTCATATGAGTAGAGAGTGAACGCAAAAGGGTAGCTATCAGTACACACTGTTCACTGAACCAAAATTGCAACTGAACATCAGTTCACCCTGAGATTGATTGCCTTGTAAATGTTTCTCTTTTCTTCTCTAGTTTGTTCACATCAACAACTTGAAACTGATCTGTCGAGCACATCAACTAGTACATGAAGGATATAAATTCATGTTCGATGAGAAGTTGGTGACTGTCTGGTCTGCTCCAAACTACTGTTACCGCTGTGGAAATATCGCCTCAATCATGGTCTTCAACAATGTAAATTCAAGGGAGCCAAAGTTGTTTCGTGCAGTTCCAGATTCAGAGCGTGTAATTCCACCTAGAACGACAACACCCTACTTCCTTTAAAATATTCCCCCATCCCATCCCAACCCCTCATCCCGAATAAACTTTTCTTAAAATACAGTGCACACAATGGCCTGTAACTAGGCAATGTTCAAGATGTAGAATTTCAACTATTCTATCAAATATTTTAAATGGCTAAATTGAATAAAGTGGTCTAAAGGGGCTGCCTTTTTTTTCCTTTGTTTTCCATGCTAGCAAGATATTGCGAAGCTGATTTATGTGCTCTGATAACTAAAAGTTTGTACATTAAAATAATTGTATTGATCATTTTTCAAATTTCATTGTATTTTAATATAGTAATATGGTGAATACAATCCGCATAGGTTAAGATATTGGAAATAAACTGCTTTATTATTAACTTGAATGTTTACTGCCCTTTCTAATATTACTCTGCTAATTTGATACCAAATGTCAGTGATGGTGCATTCTTTTACAGTGAAAATTCAGGCAATTAAATACAGTATGCTATACACTGAAACGTGCCATGAACCCCTCTATCTACCAGGCTATTAATTGTTTATTGGGCATAATTTGTCCATCAATCGTTTGGCCTGGTATGACCAGATTGAGGTAGGTTTTTGTGTGCGCGTATGTTTGTTATAAAGTTCCTTCTTTTTAATAACATGGAAATTTCACTTTGAACAAGCTTCTTCTCTCATTCATTGATCCTCTGCATCCTTGCTTTTACACATTATCCTTAAACACTAATGTAGCAAACTTTACAAAAACTTTCAGCTGTGGAAAGTGATAATGCAAGGAAATGGATAGGCATTCCTCCAATCATTCACCTTGATTACTGAAATCCAACTTTAGACTTCTTGTGACAAAAGGAGAGCACAGTGAGGATAGGTTATTGCTTGAAGCAAGAATCAAGTTGCACAGTCATCCCAACAGCTATGTGAGAATAAAGCTGTGATGGCTCTGGATAAGTTGTTCTACGGTTACTGTCATTATCTGGTGATCATGGGGAGCTGAAACTGAATTTGGGTAGAGATTATCCTGCGACATGGCACTATAATTTGAGACAGGCAAAGGTGTATGTGATGAAAGCACAATCCCTATTAAACTCCATGGAGGGTGATTGCATTGGAACATTTCAAGAGGGAATGAAATGGATATTTGCAGAACACATTGGTTGACTAGCCATGTTGCAGGAGTGGTGTGTGATTATGTTTTTTTTTTCCGTTTTTGATAATCGCTTCTGTTAGTCATTTTTTTCCTTCCGACAAATTATTTGCCTTGAAAGGTTAAGTGTCTAAAGTGAGTATAGTATGTACTTTTGGGATAAATGGGTTGTGGGAGGAGCTAGTTTTGAGAGTGCTCTTCCTACTTCAATGTAAATGCTTTGAGATCTAGCTAACTCTTAAGATGTTGTTCGCCTCCAATGAACAAGGTGGTGAGCCCTAGATACTATATTAAAACCAGGTTTGCTTGCTTGAGAGAAATCATATTTTTATATCTTATGTCTAGGGAAATACTTTGAACAGAGCACATTCCCCCCAGACTGTATTTCCCCTTCAGCATGTGTTTTTTGAAAGGTTCTAATTGTGTCTCTCTGGTCCTCCAAATTTAATTCTTGCGCAAAAAACCTTTTTGGTCCACCGGATCTTGTTGATCTTCATTCTTCTTTTAAAAACTTGAGATCGACCCTTTCAATTGTTTTATTGTCATGCTGTGGCCCAGAAGGATGGACCTTGACAGAGCCAGTTGTATTCTGCTGATCAGCTTTGTAGATGATTACAACTACAAGAAGCCCCAACTGACATTATTGGGCAAGTTACGATGCTTACATCTGCCGGTGTCGAATGCAAAGTGCACAGCTATTTTGAATTGTTTTTCAAATGTCAGTGACGTACAGGAAAATAGATCTGGTCAGGAGTTTATTTTAGGCATGTGGGAGACCAATATCTTGTAGCTCATGTACAGCTACAAAAATCCGCAGATATTCAAAGGTAATCATGCCAAAGTTTTTGGTGAGACTATTGATGTTGCATAAATAAAAACAAGTTGCTGGGAACACTCAGCAGGTCAGGCAGCATCTATAGAGAGAGGAAAAGGGAGTTAATGTTTTAGGTCATCCTTTCATCAGAACTCTTTATTCTGAATGTTCCCAGGGACTTCTGGTTTTATTTCAGATTTCCAGCATCTGCAGTATTTTGCCTTTTGTCTATTGATGTTGCACTTTGTCACAGTCATGGAGCACTGATGGACAGGTTGGAGCGAAAACAGCAAAATGGTTCCAAGGTATAACTGCTTAATTGTGCATTGTTCTGCAGAATCACAAATTCAGAGATTTATATAATTGTGCCCCTTTGTATTACCTGTACAGTGATCTTCATACTTGTAATAAGCATTGTGATCAGTTTCCTATAGATTATCCTCTCCATAGACTCCAGTATGCTCTTTGCTTTCCACCTGCTGCCACATGCAAAGATAATGCTTTGAATGGTCATTTGATTTGTCCTGACAGTTTCTTATTAATGCTTTTTTTAGTACTTATGTATATTACTGTACACATTTTTCAAATTAAATAGCAAGCCTTTTAGTGTTTAACAGCTTGAATGTTTTCTGTGAGATTCTCCTGCTGTCTGCTTGCAAATTTGAACTTGATTATGACAAGACAATTGATAAATATTTTGAACAGCAAGGTCTCAGAACTCCAGTGGTCGCAGCGAAAACTGCTATTGATCATTACTCATTTCCTTGTTTGTCATTGTGACAAAATGTGTTGTTATAATGTTTGCAAGCTCATTCTATAAAAAAAAGTCGCACCAAACAACCATGAAAATGAAAGACCAATTTTATTTGGGGTATGGTTGGCCAGGAGGGGAGGGGAGGGGGGAGGAGAGAGAGAAACTCCCTTCTCTTTTCGAATAGTATTATGAGATCTTTAATGTCCACCCGAACAACAACAACAAGATTCCATTTACAGAGCGCCTTTCATGTCTGGAGGATGTCCCAAGGCGCGGGACAGTTGGGTCAGGACCCGAGCATTGGGGGGAAACCGAACACTCAGATGGGATCTTGGTTTGACATCTGATCTGAAGCAGTACATCTCTGACAACGCAACGTACCCCCAGCGCTGACGGCATTGGAGTGCCAATTGAGATTAGGTGACTTCAAGATCATAAAAGTTTTAACAACAACAACAAGATTCCATTTATAGAGCGCCTTTCGCGTCGGGAGGACGTCCCAAGGCGCGGGACAGTTGGGTTGGGTTTAAGACACAAAAAGCAATATAAGACTCTTGGAAAGAGCTAACCACATAGCGCCACTGCCCTGTCCCTTTCACCCCAAATTATATGTTTTTTTTTAAATATGAATTTGCAATAAAATATCAAGTCTTAATTCCCTTTCAGAAGCTGCTCTGGGATTGCGCTGCGAGCACAGCCTGAGCACATGCTGTGTTTCGCCGCTGGGTGGCGCCGCGCCGCGCCGCTCTGCCTGCCCTGCCCTGCCCTGCCCTGGCCTGGCCTTCCCGCCCGGGCCGTGATTGGCTGCAGGTTTCCAGGCACCCTCGCGCAGCTGTCAGATCGGGAGACAACCTAACTTGGGTCGCCTTGTGACGCAGGTGATTGACGTGCGCATCGACCACAGAAGGACCGACCTGGGCGGAGGGGGCGGAGCGCTGGGTGGGAGCGAGGAGACGAGCGGCCAATAGGAGGGCGGGGAGGCGAGTAAAGTTAGTGTGAGCGAGGAGTAGTAAAAGCTCTGCGCTGCGCGCGCGGACAGGCGGGCGGGCGGCACGAGCGGCCTAACGGTTCTCGGTAGCTCAGCCCGCGCTCGAGACGCCGAGCGCACAGCGACAGGGAACAGAGGCGGAGAGCAAACTGCCACCAGCGATCATACGTTAAATACAACCGCCGCGGCTCCGGTTTGTGGAGACGGAGGGAGAGTCAGTCGCCCCCCCCCCCCCCCACCCGCCCTCCCCTCAGACACCGACACGGGAGTGAGGAGCGACCGCGAGAAGGTAAGTCACGGGGCCGCTCACGGCGAGATGGCGCTGCCAGAGACAGGACGTCCCTCCTTCCCTCTCTCTCTCTCTCTCCCCGTGCCCCCCTCTCTCCCCGTGCCCCCCCTCTCCCCGTGCCCCCCCTCTCTCCCCGTGCCCCCCCTCTCTCCCCGTGCCCCCCCTCTCTCCCCGTGCCCCCCCTCTCTCCCCGTGCCCCCCCTCTCTCCCCGTGCCCCCCCTCTCTCCCCGTGCCCCCCTCTCTCCCCGTGCCCCCCTCTCTCCCCGTGCCCCCCCTCTCTCCCCGTGCCCCCCTCGCTCCCCGTGCCGCCCCTCCCCTCCCCCTCCCCGTGCCCCCCTCTCGCTCCCCGTGCCCCCCCCCTCTCGCTCCCCGTGCCGCCCCCCCCTCTCGCTCCCCGTGCCGCCCCCCCTCTCGCTCCCCGTGCCGCCCCCCCCTCTCGCTCCCCGTGCCGCCCCCCCCTCTCGCTCCCCGTGCCGCCCCCCCCCTCTCGCCCCCGTGCCGCCCCCCCCCTCTCGCCCCCGGTGCCGCCCCCCCCCTCCGCCCCCGGTGCCGCCCCCCCCCTCTCGCCCCCGGTGCCGCCCCCCCCTCTCGCCCCCGGTGCCGCCCCCCCCCTCTCGCCCCCGGTGCCGCCCCCCCCTCTCGCCCCCGGTGCCGCCCCCCCCTCTCGCCCCCGGTGCCGCCCCCCCACCTCTGTTCTGACAGTACAAGTACAATTAACATAGTTAATTTTACTCTAATGGAAACTTGATAATATTAATTTACCCCCCACACCTAGTTACCTTGCAGTAAGTAGGAAATGATTGGTGGATTGCTTTCTGGGGGTAATATTCCATTTAAAAAAAACCATTTGGTCACACAATCCATGACTGTTTGTGCACACTGCTGTGCGCATTTGCCTGCCGTGTTTTGCCTACAAAAAACAGTCAATTCATTTTATGGTATATTTGTGAAGCGGTTTGAGACGTCTCAACGATGTGATAAGGCGCTGTATCAAATGCAAGGATTATTATTATCTTTATTGCCCCGTGCCCACTCCCTTTATTTCCCTTTCCCACCCCCTCTGTTGCCCGGCCCCCCTCTGTTGCCCGGCCCCCCTCTGTTGCCCGGCCCCCCTCTGTTGCCCGGCCCCCCTCTGTTGCCCGGCCCCCCTCTGTTGCCCGGCCCCCCTCTGTTGCCCGGCCCCCCTCTGTTGCCCGGCGCCCGGCCCCCCTCTGTTGCCCGGCGCCCTGGTGGGCCTGCCCCCGCCCCCTTAGTGGCCTTTCAGTTTGAGATATCTTTCCTCTTTGGGAAGGTTCAAATTAAGATATTGTATTGAGCAGCATGGAAGATCTAATTCTGTTTGCATGTTGTCAAGTCTCTCATGTCTCATCACCAAGGAATGTGATTCATACTTTCTCTTCTTCGCTCCCCACCTTCCAAGAAAAATGGACATGTAATTCTTTAGACTGGATGCAATACCTAATTCATGAAGTAAAAATAATTGCGCTTTGCAGGAAAAGAATTCCAAAGATTATTTTAATATTCTTCACAGTTTTTAAGCAAGCATTCCAGTTTACTTGCGAGTGCGAAAGGTAGCCCCTCATCTGTTGTGTTGGTTACATAAGTGGTGGATTGTGCTCCATTCCTTTTGTATGTGATGTGAAAATCCAGCAAAGACCTTATTTCTTGTGTGTAAGTTTTATTGCTATTATGCAGTTTTTCCTTTTTTTCTTTTCTCCTATCTCTTCCCCCTCCCCGCTACTCCTCAGGTGTACCATTTCAAGGCTTTTATAGATTGAGTTTATGAGCTGTCCACCAGGGGGAGTGTGAGAGTAATCTTGGTTTGGGGAAAGCATCTCTCCTTTATCTCAATCCTTTCCCAAAGGCTTGTAAGATCGAGAAAAAACTCTATTTTGGGTAACATGATAGAGCCCATGCTGCACATGGTGATGACAAGTTATTTGGATGAGAGAGAAACACTGTCCAGGATGTGGGAAGGGAAAACTGCCAGTGCTTTGAAATAATACCACAGGATCTTTAATGTCCAACAGAAAACCAGGTGAAATAACATCTAGACGCGAATGTATTCACACATTAGACAAGGGCAGGATTGAGCTAGGTTGTGGTGCGAGAGAATCGAACAGAATGCTGAGGTTCTCCACAGGCTCCATGAATTTGAATGAGCAACTGGGAAGAAAGATTAGTGCTTTCCACCCAATGCTAATCCTTACTCCACACGCCTAATAATAATCCCTCCAAAAAACAAAACAATAATAAATTGGTCATTTTCAATCCATGACTATTTGTGGGACACTGCTATGTGCAATTGGCTGCCGAGTTTCGCCCACAAATATATGGTCAATTCACTTTACAGTCTATTCTGTGAAGCGCTTTGAGACGTCGCAAAGGCATGAAAAGCGCTATCTCAAATGCAAGGATTATTATTATTAAATGGAAATCTCCATACTTACTGACTGACACACACACACACCATCTAGAAACTATACCTTTCTACCTTATCAGGAACATTAAATCCGAGTATTGCTACTCATCAAATCACATGATACAAGGTCACTAGTTGTTTAATTATGTTAGTAAATTAAGAGGAGTTTGTCACAACACCAAAATTAAAACAAAATTCTGAAGATTAGTGGTGTGATCTCAAACTGCTTGGTGTGTTACTGCTTTATAAAACACCACAGATGTGTTGTTAATTTGTGGTGGAACTTGTAAGTGGTGTTGGATGTTTTCTGTCTGAATTCTGACAGTACAGTACTTGGATTACTTAAGTTTTATGGAATCCTTCATGTTGATCATTCATGTGTGATACATTTTTACAAAAATGAAAAGTTATAAGAACCAATGTGTAGAATGTCTCTGAAATTCAGACATGATGCTTCCACAGACATCACAAACTATACCCATTCGTTGACACCACCCTATCCCTCTCCCCACACATATCCACTCTCTCTCTCTCGGAGCAAACATTTCAATAGATATTCCATCTCACTGTCAAAGGCCATCCAGCAAAAGCTAGAATATAAGATAATTTGTGATCCAAAATAGACATAGATTTAGGTATAATTCCTAAATCTTCCAACTGCAGAGATCCTGAAGCAGCCGTCCAGCTGCTCCATGATCGGCTCTCCTCCACCTTCAACTCTCTCGTCCCCCTGAAATCCAGGACCATTTCCAAACCCACCCGATCCCCCTGGTATAACAGTCATCTCCACTCCCTAAAAGCCCAAACCCGGCTGCTCGAGCACAGAGGCAGAAAACTGGCCTCACAGTTCATCACCAACTGTGGCTCGAGCATCTCCACAGCTACCGCCATCCTTTGATGTGTGCAAAAACGGCCTTCCACTCCAACATCATCTTGGAGGCAAAAAACAATTCCAAAGTCCTTTTTTCCACCATCCACTACCTCCTCCATGCGCCCCTCAGGCCTCCTCAATCTTCACATCTAATACCAAGTGCGAGGAGGTCATGGACTTCTTTTCAATCAAAATATATAATATCCGCCAGGCAGCCTCATCCTTCTGCCTCTTGTCACCCACCACCACCTCTCCGTCCCCCTCACCCTCCCACCATCAGTTCCCATCACGGCCCCCACCCAACCTGCATTCCTTCCTCTTCATCTCCTTCCTCCTTCTCATCCATCATCACTTCGATGAAACCTACCACCTGCTGCCTTGACCGCCTTCCCACTAACTTGCTGGTCACCTAGCTCCCCGTCCTCTGCCTACTACTGGCTGATGTCATCAACCAGTCCCTCTCCTCCGGATTCGTCCCTGCCTCCCCTCAAAACTGCATCAAAAAACCTTCCCTAGATCCCTCAAATCCTAGCCACTACCACCCTATTTCAAACTTGCCCTTCCTCGCCAAAGGCCTAGAACGCGTTGTTGCCAATCAACTCCGCGCACAGCTCTCCTCCCACTCCCTCTTCGAACCCCTCCAGTCCGGCTTCCGCCCTGCCCACAGTACAGAGACTTTGTTTGTGAAAGTCTCAAATGACATCCTCTCTATCTATGACCAGGGTTCCCTCTGCCTCCTTGTCCGCCTGGGCCTCTCCGCTGCTTTCGACACAGTCGATCACACCGTCCTTCTCCACCGCCTTTCCTCCGTAATCCACCTCAGTGGGACCGCAATCGCCTGGTTTGAGTCCTACCTCACGAACCACCAGCAGTACATCTGCACAAACGCTCTCACCCGGGTTACCTGCGGGGTACCCCAAGGATCCATCCTTGGCCCCCTCCTCTTCCTAATCTATCTGCTCCCTGTTGGGGATGTTATCCGCAGACATGGGGTACACTTCCACATGTATGAGGACGACACCCAACTCTATTTTTCCACATCACTTTGCAACCCCCAGTTCCCTGATGTTCTGTCAACTGCCTGTCAGACATCAGGAGCTGGATGAGCGCAAATTTCCTTCAGCTAAATGTTGACAAGAGGAAGCCATACTCTTTGGCTCTGATCAACGTCTTAAATCGCATGGTTCTCACCTCCTCCACCTACCCGACCTCCCCCTAAAACTCTCCGAACCCGTACGCAACCTAGGCATCAGGTTCGACCCCCAATTATCCTTCCTCCCCCACATCCGGTCCCTCACCAGCACAGCTTTCTTCCACCTCAAATGCATCGCCCGTCTCCACCAATACCTCGCTCCAAAACCCGCCGCAACCCTGGTCCATGCCTTTGTCACCTCTCGACTGGACTATTCAAATAATAATAATAATAATCCTTGCATTTGATATAGCGCTTTTCACGTCAGGAGGACGTCCCAAAGCGCTTCACAGAACACACTGTAAAGTGAATTGACTGTACATTTGTGGGCGAACGCGGCAGCCAATTGCGCACAGCAATGTCCCACAAACAGTCGTAGATTGAAAATGACCAATTTATTATTGTTTTTGGTTTTGGAGGGATTATTATTAGGCTCTGTGTGGAGTAAGGAAACTTGCCCAAGGTTTCGCCTGGAATTGAACTCAGGTCTCTCACTTGCAAAGCGAGTGCTCTA